TTATACATACAAATACCCGATCAAAGTGTTTTAGACACGCACAACTATGTCTTCTATAAACGTTAGGCTGGCTTTGGATAAATAATAGTGAGTAAACTACACGTTTTATTTATTTAAAAAATGTTTTATAAGTATTAAGCATATTTTATTATAAAATTGTCTTATTAATCATGAGTTTTTGTTAGAGTACTTGTCATCATTTCTTACAATAGGATTGTCTATTTAATGTTCATATTATGTAATTTTCCAGTTTTTGAGATTTAAACCAATTTTTCTTGCAACATGTATGGCTAATATATGAGTGTAAGAAAACTGTTTGTTGAATAATTCTGGCAATATTCGTTAGATCATCTTGAAACCACCACCAAAATATTTGTCATCATTTTTTATAATTGGATTGTCTACCTAATGTTAATATCATTTATTTATACAGTGTTTGAGTCTTAAATCAATTTTTCGTGCAAAATGTATGGCTGATATGTGAGTGTAAGAAAAACGATTGTTGAATAACTTTCTCCTTATTCATTGGATCATCTTGGAACCACCACCAAAATACTCATCATCATTTCTTACAATAAGATTGTGTAATTAATGTTTATATTATGTATTTATACAATTTTTTAACATCAAATAAACATTTTTCATGCTTATTACACCAGTTGTGTTTTAATGTTTTATACTCATTGTTTAAATAAACTCTTAATATTCATTGGTTATTATGGTAACCAAAAACCAAAGATTTATCTCATAGTGCTAATTTATGTAAAAGTATTATAAACTTAACGGTGTTATTTCAGTGATGATTTAAAATCTAAAAAACTTTTTATGCAACAACAATTACAAGAATATACATTAACAAAAATCTTAATTAAATTATTCTTTCAATGTTCTTTGGATCATTATGAAATCGATATTTGAAATTTTAACTTGAGCTACCTAACATAATAAAATTTGTATAAAATTATATAATAGACTTGTTATAATTTATGAGGCTTATAAGTCGAAAAGACCATGTTATCATTGTTATCGCAGTTGATGTTTATCTCTTATCAATTTTAAATGGAATAATATATTAGTCAACATTAAGATTATCAGATTATTAAGAAATTAAATAATCAGTGTGATATTGTCTTTTACTGTTGCTTGACAACTAGATTACTGTACCCAATGAGTCATTGTATGTACAGTAAAAACGGTTTTATTGTACTTTGGACAGTATTCGTATTGGATTATTCACTATTCAGTGTCAGTTGTTATTAAATTGTATGAATACTTTGTTTTTCTCTGCTGTGTTTGTTGTTTAAATCAGGTAATTGCCAATGATTTTAAATGAATTCGATTTCACGTAAATTTTTTTCGTTAATACTACTTTTTTTTATAATTTTCTAAATGTTGGTATCCTCTTATCGGGCTTCGGGCTGTAGAATAAAATCAGTCATAGCTGCTATTTAGCCGCCTATGTTTATCATCTATAATTCTATTTTAGTTTAAAAAATTGCCATTTTATCGTTTCATCGTGTACCATTAACTAGTAATTTTTTATTATTTGTTTTAGTAGAATTATCAAACGCACACTAAAGTATAACGTGTATACAACTTTGTCAAGAGACCTGGATTCGTAGAGTTAAGATTAATATTGAAACGAGACCAGTTATGACCAAACTTAAAGGTAAGCGTTTTATGAATTCTATCATTTGTCGTATTTGATATTTTACTTTTTTAAGCGATATACGAGACATTTGAAACGTTTTGTTATCGAAAAATCTTTGAGTGTTTAAAAACTAAGATTTAAAAAAAAATGTTTGGATAGATAATAGGTGTTGTTTTATTTTATTTCGTTTGATAATATGTAGTCTGCTCGTAGGTGATGGTTAACAACAAAAAATATATAATAATGAAGGAGAATATTCCTAATATTTTGTGAGCAGAATGTGATTTCTATGAACTTCATATACTGTGTGACTAATCTTGTTGAATAAAGGGAATCAAAGTGTTCAGTGATCTTCATAGCCAATAATTTGAACTTCAAAAATCAAGAAAAATGTCTTTGTAAATATTCTTTATAATAAAACATATTTTATTTTGTTAAAATTATTTTTTCATTTTAGGATTATTGAGTTTATACACATAAATACCCGATCAAAGTGTTTTAGACACTCACAACTATGTCTTCTATAAATGTTAGGCTGGCTTTGGATAAATAATAGTGAGTAAGCATATTTTTTTATAAAATTGTCTTATTAATCATGAGTTTTTGTTAGAGTACTTGTCATCATTTCTTACAATAGGATTGTCTATTTAATGTTCATATTATGTAATTTTCCAGTGTTTTTAATCTTAAATCAATTTTTTGTGCTACATATATTACTGATATGTAACTGTTAGAAAACTAATTGTTGAATAACTCTCTCAATATTCATTAGATCATCATGGAACCACCACCAAAATACTTGTCATCATTTCTTACACAAGTATTGTCTACTTAATGTTCATTTTATGTATTTTTCCAGGGTTTGAAACTTGAACCAAATTTTCTTGCACATATACATCCCCTTATGTGAGTGTTAAAAATCTGAATGTTGAATAACTCGCCCAATATTCATTGGATCATCTTGAAATCTATACCAAAAAATTTTTCATTACTTATTTACTCTAGATTAGTCTACCTAATGTTCATATTAGTTTATGAATTGTTTTATTGATTTTAAAAGTTTTATATTATTTCAAATGTACGAATCTGTTTGTCATATACAAATGTTAAATTTTGTTTTTTTAATAACACACTCAATACTCATTGGATTATCTTGAAACCTAAACCAAAAGATTTGTCATAACTTACTCAATCTATAATAGTCTACTTAATGTTAATTTGGTTTTTTTTTAATTCATTAAAACATTTATCATTTTAAATGTAATAGTAATATAGGCATATATAAATGATAAATTCTGTTTTTTTAATATCGCAGTCAATGCTCATTACATCATCTTGAAACCTACGACAAAAGATTGTTTATGTTTTTTTACTCTGCAAGTATGTTTTCTCTGTTCATTTTGTATTTTTAAACAGTTTTTTGAAGTTATTTTTGTCATTATATAATTTATCTTCTTAAAATAATCCACAATATACTTTTACAAAACTGAAAGGTGAATACCACGCCAAATATTCATTAGATAGTTTTGAAACAAAACTTATTTTTCGTCAATGTTCTTACTCTAGAAGGTATACTCATTTTAATTTTTTCAATATTTTAATCCATGTTATCAAAATAGACGAAACTCTGTTATCTATAATAATTTAAATGGGTCATTCGCATAAATATGATGGATGGGTGAGTGTGCAAAATATTATTATACTATTTTCTTATAGAGGCAACAATGATTTAGATCATTTTTATTAAATTATACTCAATCTTTTTTTACAAACTTTTGCATACTTGGAGATAGCTTTATATTCTTGTATATTTGGTTAATATTTTAGTAGGCAATATTATTTGGTTTATTTTGTTTTTTCATCGATTATAAAAAAAGAAATTAATATTTTATGCTAATAATTTGAAAAATAATATAACTTACATTGCTGCAATTTTTTTTTTTTTATTTTCTTGCAATAAAACATTTTAAAACCAGAAATATGCCCTTGTCAGTTAACTACGTATTGTTAAAAAAAAACCTCAAGTCACTAAAAAGATTTAGTTAATGAAAAATTTGTAATATATCAAGAAAAAATCATGGACCAAAAACATAATCTATCGTAGAATTTATAGGTATTTTTTTTAAATTACTGTCTTTAGTTTTAGTTAGAAAATCATTGATTTCATAAACGTTATTTAAATTCATATCAGAACGAAATAATAGCTTACGAAATCATTTTCTATCCTAAAAATTTAAATTTTGTTGATCTTCAATTTTAACTATTTGACTATCAAGTTCTTTAGCTGTTCTATTTTTCTTTCCATCAGATGTGAGGTGTTTTCTTAATATTTTAATTGACATTGGTGTATTTAACTCGTCTATTTGTTCATTTGGTACAAAAATATCAATTTTGTTTAATATTTTACATAGTTGATCTGATAATATATTAAAAATATCATTTAATTTGTAAAAATCATCCTTAAAATAAAAAGGAGTATTAATACAACTATAAGAGTATAACAGTATTTTTTAGAATGATAAATACTATTTAATTAAGTACTGCTATTCTAATATTTTAGAAATATCAATGCAAGTTATAACTAGAGTCCATATTCATACTCTCTAAATATGCCTTAAATATGATGCTTATATTCTCTAAAAAAGCTGCAAATATTCTGTTTATATTCACTTAAAAATATTCAAAAACATCCAAGTTTAAAAATAGTTTTATCCCCAAGTAATGATCAGTATTAAAAATCATAGCTTTAAGCCATATGCTCCATCTATTAACGACTGGTTTAGGTGATAAAGGAATACTCACGAGTTCTTCCCTATTAAAATATTTCAAAGTATGTTTTTTATATCAAAATGATACAAAAAAAAAATTATAGTTATTATTCATTTTCTTAAGCAATTGTTTCCAAATACTTTTTAATTGAAATTATGAGAAATTGACATTTTTTTTTTCTCAAAATGAACCAAATCTTCCAAAATATACTAAATATGCTAAATATTCTATAACCAATGAAATATTCTCAAATATACAAAAAAAAATTTTTTCTGTGAACTAAGTGTTTAATCAATCGTTCACGATTTTTACTCATACAACTGCATGTACAGTAACAATATGTAAAAACCTATAAAACCTATGAGGTTAAAACAAATATATACAAAAATTTGCTGCTAGTAAAACATTATAGTTGTTTATAACTTTTTAATCATAGGGAGTTAAAATAAATTGAATGTTTACCTAACTAAAAACAATCTCTGAAATAATAATTTAGCAATTTTTACACATTTTATAAGTGATTTTTAATGATAAAATAGATAAATACATTGACAAAACTCTTTAAAAAATGTTATGAACTTAAAATGGGTTTAGACTTTAAAAGGAGAATTAACTTGATTCTTGCAAAGTATTTATTATTATTTCATGAAATACTAAAAAGAACAGTAAAAAGTAAAAATAAACTAATTTTAAATTTAAGTTTGGTGGTTTTACAATTATGAATGAATGCTGGGTGATCTCGCCAATGGTTTAAACTTTCAATTATATTTATATTAGAACAATACATAAATAAATATAAATTGTATCGAAAGATTATATTAAATATTATAATATAATTAGCACATGTATATTTTACTGTAGTATTATAATCCTTAATATTTACAAAAAAAACAATTAAATCTAATGCTATTTAGTTATAATTAACAATTAATTTCCTAAAATTAGAATTTTACTTAGTTATTTACAATAGTTTTTTGAGAAGTCTCAATATTACAACAATTATTTTTGTTTTTATTACTATGATTTATGCTGAGATTAAATTGTTTCATAAGATTATCACATGTTGATTTAAATAGTTGGTCACGTTCAATGTTACTTGGCTCTAGAAATTTTTGATATGTCTTGATTTTCTGAAAAAATAAATTTTTATTTATTTATTTTTCAATAAAAAAATGAACCACACTAAAACTACACTATATTTTGTTTGTTAATTTTTCTCTGCATGAAGTCTAAACATACCTATAGTATAGCTATACAATTTTTTTTTTAATTAAAAAACAAACTAATTAATCAAATAATAATGGAATTAACCATATTTTAATGAATTGTACATAAACATAATCGATTGCAAAAAAAATTAAAATAATAATCAACAATGTTTATCTGAAATACAATCATTTTTTAAAATTCATTTTACATAAGTAATTTTAGCAAAAACCATTGAAATATAATTTAAAATTAAATATTGATATTTGCTTACCGGTATATTGATAACTTTTGATGGTGTTTTGGTGTATTTTTCCATGCCTACAGGTGGATAGTCGGCTGGATCTTGCAACTTATTAGCTAATTTGCTATATTTCATCCATCTTGCTGATACTAATGGAATGTTACGTTCAATTGCTTTATTATATGTACTACGGTAACCATCACAGAACATCACATGTGTAACCTATAAACAAAATTAAGAAAAATTTTAAAAAAATGTTGAAGGATTAATAACTAATCATAATATTTACTTTTTTATTGAACGTTTTTACGACTTTAGCACCCAAATTAATAAGACTTTGAGTAATACTTGAATTACAGCGTTCATTGTCAATTTTGTAGTCAACAAATGCAACAACTCCTAAATAATAAATTATTAAACATTTAATTTTGTTTTAGGCTAAAAAAATAAAAATCAAAAGTAAATAGTTTGTTAAAAAAATTAACAATTATGAATATTAAAAACAAATATGTACAATACTTTAACACGTTAACCGCCAGCAATCATACAACAGATATTTGTTATACGCCAAACATATTTTTCAATGTTATCCAAATTTGTATATACTAATATTTAAAAAAAATTGAAAAGTTATATATTATAGGTACATTATTGTAGCACCATAGAAAAGTTAATAATATAAAACTGAATTCATTTATGGTTGCTGGTGTTAATGTGGCATGGTAGTAATGATGATTTGTTGGCGCTGGCGGTCACAAATTTATAAAATTTGAGAATTACAGATGACCACTGGCGGTCATATGGCGGTTAATGTGTTAAAAAAAAACTTCACTAAGCTATACATCCTTCTATATAGTATTTTTTATGTAATATACTGATTAATTCTTTCATCAAATAACACTTATTATTTCAAAATATATTAACATTTTTTGAAAATATTATTTTACTTAATTTCCTTTCGAAATTAAAAAATATTTATATATATATATATTTAGTATCATAATCATAATAATTTTATAAGTTTTTAATTTTATATTCTAAAGAAGAATATTTATTGGAGTATTATGATACATAAAAATTGAAATTTGGATGAGTAATTTATGAGTTATAAGTAGAGCAAGAACTTCTATAAATATGCATATTTTTTCTGGTGAACTTTATCGTATGCTTAGAGAATATTCATTTCATAATACTTGTTATCAAATACTCAAAAAAATTTAGTAAATATTTTGATGGGTTATTAAAAAAACTGCTTGTACTTTGGTAAATATTTTTCATAAATAAAGATAAACAATTATATTAAACCGTGAATTTGTCATTTATAGACTAA